CTCGCACTCGCTGTCGCCACCGCCAGCACCTGACGACGACCCCGACGCGATGCCGAGGGAGCAGCAGCAGCGGGAGGAGGCGCCGCCGGGCTACGTGCCGCCGATGGGCCCCGAGGAGGTGGCGGCCGTCGAGGCGCTCCTCGGCTACGAGTTCAAGGACAAGTCCCTGGTCGGGCTGGCCCTCACGCACGGCTCCTTCTACTTGCCCTACCGCTCCGGCGACTCCACCTACGAGCGGCTCGAGTACCTGGGTGACGGCGTGCTCACCTGCCTCGTGTCACGGGAGGTCTTCCTCACCTATCCGGACCTCCCGCCAGGCCCGCTCACGCGCCTCCGCGCCGCCAACGTCGACAAGGAGAAGCTCGCGCGCATCGCCGTCGACCACGGCATCCACCGCTTCCTCCGCCACAAGGCGCCCAAGCTCGAGGAACAGGTTACTAGTAACTGCCACTCTCCTTCTACTAGTCTACTACTACTAATTTTAGTACCTTTCCGGTGCGTGCGTTGCGCCATGTTCCCTGTTCATGAGAGGGACGTGTCAAAACTGACCTTTTCAACTCGCCGGGCCCCTGCTTTGTGGTGTGTCATTTTGGTGAAATATTTTGTTTCCATGCCTGCTCATTCTTGGATATACATCTTGTCTAGTCTTGTTGTAAATAGTTAAAGTAAAACCAAACTTGATCCTTATACACACACATAGTGATGCTAGGATGTACGGGGCTGTAGACTAGTAGCATACATGTTCATGGAGTGGTCACTCAAGACTCAAGAGTGTGCCCACCATGGATCTCAGATTGAAACGTGTGCCACCTTTTTATTATTCTCCTCCTGTGATTCAAACGGCACTTGTAATTCTCTGCCGTGTTCAAGGGTATGATCCCTTGTTATATGCGTATGATGTAATTTTGGGTGAAAGGGAACCATCTCTTTCTGTTCCCCTCTCCTACCTTAGTATCTTGTCAAAGCACCAGTCTGCGATTCAAAGATTCTACCAAGGTGATACTTTTCCAAAAGATTCAATTGACATGTACAATTCTAGGTTACCCAATGGTCCATTTGGATCGAGGCGGGAAAACCTCGAACTCATTTATACATTTCCAAATGGTTGTTGTTTAAGGAAAGTAGTCAAAAATATAAGTATGCGGATTAAATTCCACGGTAACGATAGAGAAAACTCGCTATCTTGTCGTTTTGTTTGTAATAAAATGGTTGTTGGTTCTTAGGGAAAGACATGAAAGCACAAATGTGGCGTTCCGACTCCACCTTATTATGTCTATTTATGTTTTCTTTTCATGGGATTTCATAAAGGTTATGTGAAAAACAAGTTTTTGCTTATGTCGGCTAATCAAGTTGTTTATGTTTCCCGCAAAAAAACCAAGTTGTTTATGCACCAGAGTTAATACTAAACGATTGATGTGTAACCACACCCACTTCTATGGTATTGTATTAGTTTTTTTGTTGGTGTAGCCTTTCTTATGCTTGTGTCTGCGACTAATACCTATTAGTTGTTGCATGAAGAGAAGAACAATGAAAAGGTCATTTTTATGTAATTAAGATGTTGACATGCTGCAAAGCCACGTATGATTGATGTGATGCCTCTTGTGCTTTGGCGTTTGCAGATTGCTGATTTTGTGAAAGAATTGTGTCAGTATGAATACCACTCCAATGGGCTATTGGATGCTCCAAAAGTGCTGTCTGACATCGTGGAATCTCTTATTGGTGCCATATATCTTGACTCCAAGTACAATCAAGAGCTAGTTTGGCAGGTAAATGTCTTTCTCGGAACTGCGAAATCTTGGCTGTTGTTTCTCACTGTAGTTTGGTAATGTAATGTTTCTTTCTCTGATAATAGGTTTTTCAAAAGTTGGCTGATCCACTTATTAGGCTTGAGACATTAGGGAGGCATCCCGTAAGCGAGCTATTAGAGTTTGGCCAAAAGAGTGGTCGAATAGTGGATATCTCTAAAGATGGGTGGGTTAAGGATACGAAGGTTGATGTATTTGTTGACGGTGTGCTGGTTGCAAGCGCGACTTATGCTCAAAAGAAGGAGATAGCTTCGAACCGCGCTGCGAAGGCTGCTCTAGACAAATTGAAGGAGATGTCGGGGCAATCCGATGTTCTATCAGCCCCAGCCCTAGGAGAAGCTCCTGAGCCGTTGGACGAATTGGGTCGTGCTGGAGCTTTAGAGCTCTAGAGCTCCAGTGAAATGCTGAGACATTGTCGGCGCAACAAATGTTTTTGCCTGTTTGTACTTCCGTTGAATCTTAACATTACATGTGTGTTGTTAAGCTGCGTTGTGAGCCTGTAAATACTTATATGCAAATCATATGAGTATTGTGCCCCTGTGGGCGTTGAGACTTGAGAGCAAGGTGCAAGTTCACACCTTAAAATTGATTTGTTCATCTCTATATACTTTGGTGATATTAGCATGTACCGAACTGGATGGTTCACCTACAGCAGACAACTTCTTTTCTCCGAGCAGAGTGAATGTCTGCTTTTGCCCTTCGGGAGTGAAGTGGAATCGTACAGCCGCTGCGGGCGCGGGGAAAGGCGACGCTAGGGCGCCATGCCTCGCTGCGGTGCCTCGGCCGGCGGTGCCGGTGCGTCCGGACGGCAAGGCGCGCGCGCGGTGGTGACGCCATCCTCGCTGGGGCCGACTTGGGTGCCCCGGCCCGCGCCGTTTCGCTGGGCTGACATCGCCGACGACGAGGCGAGGCGGACGGCGGTATCGAGATGCCGGTCTCCTTGGCGCCGCCGTCTTTCGGCGACTTCCCGGCCGTGGCGTCGAAGGCGAGTTCGCGCGGCGCTCGACGGCCCGGTGTCAGGGCCCCGGTGGTGGCTGCTGACCAGCCGCCCCGGGCGTCACGGATAGCGCGGCGAGCGTGACCCCACCTTCCCCGTTCGCGGCGCCGCCTGCATCGGTGGGAGAGCAGACGACCGATGCTGGCCGGAGCTCTTCCCGCACGGTAGAGGTCGAGCCGGTGCGCCGCCTTGCTCCGCAGCCACCGGCTGGCTCGGTCGAGCCGTTCGAGCTCCTGGCGCCTGCAGCGCCCCGCGATGGGCCGGCCCACGAACCGTGCAAACCAATGAATGCAAAAACCTTGCCAAAAAAAGGAAATATAAAAGGGAATAATGCTCTCTACAGGATTGAACTCACCACACCGTGTGAACAAACAGATGCCAGCAGCAACCCGGGCTACTTGCCGTTGGTGATTAGTAACAGAGGCAAACATATATATAATAACAAGGCCGCAACGCTATTTTATTGAACATAACAGTTCATCTATTGTACCACTTAATTTTTTTGAATTATTTGGAAAAAAGATCGCGATTTTCAAAAAAGTTCATTGATTTTCAAAAAAGTTCATCAACTTTAAAAAAAATCCATCAAATTTGAAAAATGTTCACAGATTTTTAAAAGAGAAAATCAGATTGTAAAACGTTCATCAAATTTGAGAAAGTTTCATTAATTTTGATAAAAAGTTCAGCGATTTTGAAAAAAAAGTTCAACGAATTTGAAAAAATTCATTGATACTGAAAAAAGTTCACAAATCTAAAAAAAGAGTTCATCGATTTAATTTTTTTTTTGAAAAAATTGAGAAAAGTTCATGCATTTGCAAAAGAAAAAAGAAACAAAAAAGAAACAGGAAAAAGATAAGAAAGAAAAAGAAAACCGGTCGCGATTTGGAGAAAGAATAGAAGGAGAAAAATGAGCTACCTTTCAAATGAGATGGGTTGTCCCAAGTGGTTGCAACTTTGCTACCCTATGGTATAGGTTGCATGTTTGAATCGTTCGCTACGCACATTTTTTCCAATTTTTCAGAAAAAAAGAAGGGGAGGGAAGGAACTGGGCTGGCCCAAAATCGCGCCCGAGGGTGTGCGCTGCACGCACCCGTTCCGCTAGCTCGGTCAGCCCATGAACGCATGGTTGCGTGGGGGTCGCAGCACTAGGCCCGTTCTGTCCCGTGGGGCCTAATTGGCCCGGGGCATGGGCCTTAGCCCAAACGGATCCGGCCCACTGGCAGTGGATTTCGCGTGATGCGCCCAACCCATTAGTGGGCTCGCCTGCTTCTAGGGCAGATGTCGCGTGATTCGAGTCGAACGCCCATCTTGTTCTATCCCGTGTATTGCCGCTGTCCTCTGTTCCTGCTCTGATTGACGTTCTCGCCCCGCCCTCGCCAGATCGCGTACCTGGCGCCTCCCGGCCTTCGCTGCTCCTAGCTGACCCGAGCTCGAGGCGGGACACAGCTCGCGCTAAGATGGTCGAAGCTCCGCGGGTGCGGACGACCACAACAAGTTCAATTCCGCTGAACCTGGCCGGTCGGATGCTCGAGATTAGCGTAGGCATTCATCTGGGTCGCCTCGGTACTATCCCGCCCGCTCCATGCTATTTGTGAGCTGTGATGGAATTTTCTATAAAGAGGAAGGACGAAGCAATAGTAGCTGATAAGTATTTCCCTCCGTGAGAATCAAGGTTGTCGAATCAATAGGAAAATCATGCAAAGCATAATGAACAGTACCTGCACACAACACGGGCAAGAGAGTTGTCAATCCCTTTGAACTCGTTACTTGCAAGAATCAAATCTGGTAGTGGTAAATATATAAATCACAAAACAAAATAAATTCCAGCAAGGTTTTTTCTTTTCTTTTTGTAATATGATAAAAGTAGACCCTGGGGCCATAGTTTTCACTAGAGGCTTCTCTCTCTCCCTCTCTTAATAATAACACACGGTAGGTAGACAAATTACTGTTGGACAATTGATAAAAAAACGCATAGTTATGATGTTATTCATGGTAACGATCATGTATATAGGCATTACGTCCGTGATAAGTAGACTAAAATGATTCTGCATCTACTACTATTACTCCACCAATTGACCGCTATCCAACATGCATCTATGGTATTAAGTTCATGACAAACAGATTAACGTCTTAAGCAAGATGACATAATGTAGACAGAATAAACTCCAGCAATGTGAATGAACCCCATCATCTTACCCGTAATGGCAATAATACAAATACGCGCATCACTACCCCTTCTGTCATGAGGTGAGGACACCGCAAAATTGAACCCACTACAAAGCACCTTTCCCACTGAAGATAAATCAATCTAGTTGGCCAAACCAAACAGATATATCAGAAAGAAATACAAAGCTATAACCATCATGCATAATAAAGTACATCAGAGACTCAATTATTTTCAATGAATAATCTGATCATAAACCCATAATTCATCGGATCCCAGCACACACACTGCAAAGAAAGATTACATCGGATAGAAATCCATGGAGATCATGGAGAACTTTGTATTGAAGATCGAGAGAAAGAAGAAACCATCTATTTACTAGCTATGGACCCGTAGGTCTGTGGTAAACTACTCACACATCATTGAAGGTGTAGCAAGGATGATGTAGAAGCCCTCCATGATCAGGCCCCCCTCCGGCAGGGTACCAAAAAAGGCCTCCAGATGGGATCACGGAAGAATAGAAGCTTGCAGCGACGGAAAAGAGTGCTTCGGATGGCTCTCTGTTGGTTTGGGAATATTTAGAAATTTATAGAGTTGAAATTAGGTCAAACAGAGCTATGTGGGACCCACAAGCTTAGGGGGGACCCTGGGCACGCCGGGTGAGCTCATGACTCTCCCATAGATCTTTTGGCCTCCTCCCAAACGTTCTAGGGTCTCTTCTGGTCCAGATGAAATCACCGTAAAGTTTCATTGTGTTTGGACTTCGTTTGATACTAATTTTCTAAAAAGCCAAAACAAGAAAAGAAAACAACAACTGGCACTGGGCACCGAGTTAATAGGTTAGTCCAAAAAATGATATAAATTTGCATATGAAGTATGTAAAATTGGCAATATAATAGCATGATACAATAAAAATTTTATAGATATGTCAGAGACATACCAGCATCCCCAAGCTTAATTCATGCTTGTCCTCGAGTAGGTAAATGATAGAAACAGAGTTTTTGATGTTGAATGCTACCTAGCATGTTTATCATGTAATCTCCTTACGCTATAAATGCTGAGAAATGATGATAATTGATATCAACATAATAATATCCATGAATATAAGAACATAATCATTACTTTTTCAAAATATACGATGTTTAATGAATGTTATCCCTCCTCGTTGAATTATGTAAGCATGGCATGACTCCGCCTTCACCGCATAAGTATAAATCATGAGCACCCTGGTGTCAAACCAAGAAATTATAACATATTTTTAACGCGCTTCAACATTTTTTTACTCCATTCAATACATGAGTGTGAGCCATGGATATTAGCACTAGGGTGGAATAGAGTGCAGTGGTAGAGATATATAGGAGAAGTCAAAAGGGAAGAAAGACTCGCATCAACTCGGTGGATCGTTAAGCAATGGAGAGGCCTTACAATCGATATCAATGCGAGGAGTAGGGATTGCCATGCAACGAATGCACTAGAGCTATAAGTGTATGAAAACTCAAACTGAAACGAAGTGGGTGCGCATCCAACTTGCTTGCTCATGAAGACCTTCGGCATTTGAGGAAGCCCATCATTGGAGTATACAAGCCAAGTTCTGTAATGAAAAATTCCCACTAGTATATGAAAGTGATTACTCAGGAGACTGTCTATATGAAGAACATGGTGCTACTCTGAAGCACAAGTGTGGTAAAATGATAGTAACATTGTCCCTTCTCTCTTTTTCTCTCATTTTTGTTGAGCTCTTTTGGCCTCTCTTTTTTCATCCGTAGTCTCATCCCGACTTGTGGGGAATCATTATCTCCATCATCGTTTCCTCACTGGGACAATGCTCTAATAATGATGATCATCACTCTTTTATTTACTTACAACTCGATAACCGGAACAATATGAGTCTATATGAATGCCTCTCGTAGTGTACCAGGATGTGCAATGATCTAGCATAATATGTATAACAATGATGAATGGTGGCTTTGCCACAAATATCATGTCAGCTCTGTATGATCATACAAAGCAATATGATGATGAATACACATGCCATAAGCCGGAATGGTGGAAGTTGCATGACAATATATCTCGGAATGGCTATTGAAATACCATGATAGGTAGGTATGGTGACTATTTTGAGTAAGATATAAGGAGGCTTATGTGTGATAGAGTGTATCATATCATGGGGTTTGGATGCACCAGCGAAGTTTGCACCGACTCTCGAGGTGAGAAAGGGCAAAGCACAG